AAAATATAGATGTTGCTCTAAGAATATGCGAAGAGAAACGCGACCTCCAAAACACTTTCCCATGCAGATTTTCCATCCCAAAAAGTATTGACCATGATAGAATGGGGATCGACCTATTACGCCACATCGATCCTAACGAGGGAGGATCAGTTCAACAATATTAGTCGTCCTATCCGAACGGAGCCCTTTGCATTCTTCGAGCAAATAGTGTTCATGTTCGGAAAACTAAGTTTTACTTTATTTAGTGATTACGTAGTGATTATTTAGTAGTATCGCGTATGTCGCCGTTATAAATAGTGCAAATTAATTATGGTAAGTTTTATTCATTATTGTAGGTTTTATTAAGTATTGTAGATTTTATTAATTATTGTAGGGTTTATTAATTATTGTAGGTTTTATTAAATATCGTAGATTTTATTAATTATTGTAGGTTTTATTAAATATTGTAGATTTTATTAATTATTGCAAGTTTTATTAAATATTGTAGATTTTATTCATTATTGCAAGTTTTATTAAATATTGTAGATTTTATTAATTAGTGCAGGTTAAAAATTAGTATAAATAGTTGTTATAAATTAATTATTGTAGGTTAAACATTAGTGTAAATAATAGTTATGAACTAATTATTTTGGGTATTAGTTTTGTGTAACGTCTACAGTGGTAAACGCAACGGAGGTACATCGCGCGGGTCTAATTAATCGCGCAGTGTGTGAACATTTTTCGCGGTCGGGAGAATCGCGCAGTGTGTGTGGACACTTTTCGTGGACTTCTGTGGTGTACATGCATGTGCGGATTAATTTCATGTATACTCGTGGACAGGAAAATTGCTGTACGTGATAACCAGAGAGGATATTAACCCTTTCTACTCGATAATATTCGTAAGAATATGTTTACATTTCTTGAGAATTTTATCGAGTAATTAGAGTTAAAGCGATACATTCGACTCAAATACCGCAGACACAAGTTATCGACATCTTCTACCGGGTAAGTAGACAGCTGTTCTACCTACTTTTCCTGGACGTCGTTGAGTCTTTAGAGTGACTGTACGCCCCTTACGAACTCTGCCCCGCTGACACTCCGTGTGTGCGGATTACCTTGATTGCGTCAATTTTTAAACGCGTATAACTAACAAACGAAGCATTTATCGTAATTTCGTTATTCTTGATTATTGTCTTATGTTGCCCCAAAGAATCACCCTTTTAAATTTTTTCCCACTAGTGAATGAAATTTCCGTATAAGGAAACTTCGACAGTTGAGGTTGCGTCACGCTTCCTAATTTTTGGATGACCACGCCGTGGGAACGGGATCCTGCTCGCCCGTTTACTTGAGAGATAACGGAAACCTAAGGGCGTTTTTCTTTTCCGAGTGCGAGTTCAGACTATTAGGGCGAGAGGTATTAAAAAAAATTCTTCGTACGTAACATACCTAAAATCAGTAGACTGCCGATTTTTATGCAAATACATATTTTTCATATTGCATATGTTTTGCGTATCTTACATAAAAGGCAGATGACTGAATATGTTACATATGGTTTGTACATATTGTTGCGACGCCATGAAAAGTACAATATTTTACTTATTTTATAATTCAGAAATAATGAATTATGATTCATAATACTTTCATGTTATAACTGTCGTATGATCAGTTTATAATAAGCCTGTTCAGTGTAATTTGAATTCATAGTCAGTAATATCGCAAAAATAGTAACGTTGATCACGTTATAGCGTAGGGCGCAACAGAAATGGATTGGAATGTTAGTTCAATTTCATCGTTTTCGGAGTGCTGATCGTTAGAAGTGGTTACTGATTTTCGTACAATGCCTGAAGCAAGAAGTGCCAAACAAGTTATAATTAACAAATGGATAAGTGAAATAGCTGATACAAATTTTATTATGGAAGGAGACATTGCTAATTGCTAGGTGTTCAATAAGCAGATTAACTGTGATAGAAAATCACAGTTGACTCAACATACAAATACTGCTACTCATAGGAGAAATATGCAGTGGTGTAATAATTCGAAAGCAAGTACAAGTAATCAAGTGCCAAGTAAAAATCAATTTTATAGCGATTTGTATCAAGCGATGGTAGCCGTAAAAATGCCTTGGCGGTGTCTAAACAATATAACGTGGAACAATTTCCTTAAAAAATATACTGATGAAAATATATCGAATGAATTCTCTCTTCGAAAAAATGATTTGCATGATCTTTTCGAATCATGTATTCAGGAGATTCGAAAAGATATTGCAGGACACAATATTTGGATCTCTGTATATGAAAATACAGACAACGCCGGCCGCTATATCGCTAATTTAGTTGTTGGAAAAATGTGCCAATCTGAAGCATCAACGCCTCATTTGCTCGCTTGCAAGCAATTAGAAAAAACTAACCATGCTACCATTGCTCGATTTGTCGATTCAGCAATTCGTGTGTTAAGGCCAAACGTGGAAGACGATTGTTATGAAAGAGTTTTGCTCCTGGTGACTGATGCAGCTCTGTACATGTTAAAGGCTGGCAGACATTCAAAAATATTTTATCCAAAAATGCTACATATAACATGTTTGTTGCACGGAGTAAATAGACTAATAGAGGAAGTACAACTCCATTTTTCTGCAGTCAACACGCTAATATCTGCAGTCAAGCAAGTGTTCCACCACAGCCAATCGTTAGAAGATGGGGAACTTGGTTAGAGGCAGTATTATTCTATGCAAAGTATTTAGAAGATATTAGAAAGGTAATCATTTGTAATTCTTCATTTAATTTTATTGTCTTATCTACATTATTACTTTATTACTAATATTATTTTTAAGTGGTATTATTTCTAAAATAAGTAATAAATTTGTTTGACGATAAAAATGCAGCATCAATTAGAGTTGCAAAGGAAATTTTCGAAAAGGAAAACTTAAATCAAGATTTGGCATTTATTGAAGCTCACTTTGGTACTCTCCTGGTAACTGCATCAATGGAAATAATTCATGAAATTGCTAAAAATGTGGAAAGCATACCCGGTACTTTTGGAGAAACAATTAAAGAGAAATTCAATCGTATTCTAGCAAAAAATCCTGGTTACGATTCACTATCTAAATTTGAAAAAATTTTACCAGCACGATACCAGAGTAAAGTTAAATATGTACCAATCACATCTTATGACGTAGAGAGATCATTTTCTGTTTACAAATTAATTTTCTCTGACAAACGATACCATTTGACAGTAGATAATCTCAAAAAAACGATTATTGTATATTGTAACGTTAATGATGATAAATAAAATAACAATAAAATCAATAATACTTTATAAATCTACATGTAATACATGTGTAATATATGTACATACCTAGGATATATATCCTGCATACTTTCTGTATATTTTGTGCATATTTTCTGCAAATTCTCTGCATATTTCCTGCATATTTGTTGCATATTTGGATACATTTTAGCTGCATAAAAATCCGCAGTCTACTAATCAGGAATAAAAATAATGTGTTTATTTGTTTATGCTTGAATATGTTTAAGCATATGTTATAAATTTGTTTATTAAAGGGAACTGTTATACTAAAATCATAATCTTACACATACGTTAACTAACATACACATTTGGAAAAATGTAATTTTTAATCAGAAAAGGAAATTCATTTTTTAATGTCTCTTAAGAACATACATACATTTCTGTTTAGTTTCTCCTTTCAAAAATTAGTCTATTATATTAAAAAACATTTATTGAAACATTTGCTGCTTGGTTGGAATTATATACGTATAAAGATAGTTTTCAATATTAAATTATTAAATAAATACGGTTATCTTCTATGAATTGGTCATATGGTAATGTTCGTAAGAGTTTAGCGCGAGATTTTAATGTATTTCTAAATAATTTAACTTCTTATTTATATTAAATAGGTAAAAACCTTAACATATTTCTTAATCAATTTCAATACTGTGTTACGCGGTAAGGTGTATTGTATAATAAGTATAAACGAATTAGAAAACATTAACTATTAAATGTATATAATGCTTACAAACAATAAAAAAAACATACTGCTTTATAATTTTGTTCTCAAAAACTGACATTTTATGTACAGAAAAAAACAAAATTTTTTGCGGAAGATTTTATCTGGAATCCTTTTTAAAATAATTACAAAAATTAATTAAAAACACATTCATTTACAATTAGTAGATGCCTACATACCATATTTATTACAATTCATGGAAAATGTAACTTCGTAATACTTTTTTTTTTCTAAATATATACAAACGTATAAGCATAATGAGAATAATTAAAAAATACTGATTACTCAATAATTCTGATAATTATAAATCTAACAAGGGCTAATACATCTCTGGAATGTCATTCCAACGTGTCTATTGAACTGCCATATCATTTTTATAAATGTACGAAATATTTCCGTCTTATAGCCGTAAGTGATCAAGCTGTGAATTACGTTTCGTACCTTAAATCTAAATGAAAAATAAATATCACTATTATTTCAGGAAATAATGTAACACTCCTAACAGTGTTATTCTCAAATCATGAAGCGCGTAAGAAAAAGCGGTATTATTTACGCGGTTACTCCGAACAATTTGACATCATCTAAACAAGGTCCTCCTAAGACATTGAGAGTGGGAGAGGTGTGCGGTGTCCACCCCTCTTCTCGCTCCATTCGTCAACACAGGTGACTCCGTCGTTTCGTCGATCATTCATAAAGCTTACCTTCGAACGGCCAAGCGATACAGAGTCCGTGAAACGTTCGGTAGCGTACTTTTACAAATCTTCTCCGACCGTTAACCACATTGTTCGCGCGAAACAAAATCAAATAGTCGCGCCGAATTCGGTACATCAAGTACACCGAGTTTCAGTAACAAAAAAATAATCAATTTAATACAGTTTTCGCGATTGATGTCGTATGTTCACAAACATCGTCGTGGTAGATACTTGTGATAGACTCGGAACTGCGTCGATTTTGTAGAAATACGACGGAGGAATTAGTATTCGAAATACTTTCCTAAAAAATGGGAACGTACCTCAGACTATGGACGATTTATCTGTTGATAAAACTGTCGTGCGCCGGGAAATCGGTGGACATACTGACGTCCGATAGACTGAATACCTTGGAAGAGGAGGATATTATTCGAGTGTTCTCCCGTAACAAAACCACCTCGTCCTCCAATTACACAATTATTCAGCTGATCGGCGACCTGAGGAACCATACGATCGAGACCAGCGAACAGACATGGAAACCCCGGATGTTCAATGCTCATAACACCAATCTTCTCTACGGTGAGTTTTGCCGAGCACGATCCATTATTCCGCGATGAGATTGTTGAAATTGTTAATTACGAACGCGACTGTATGTTATGCTTACAAACGAAGGTCAATTAATTAAGAAAGTGGGAAACATTTATTATTATTTTTTTTGTTATATTTCTGAAAAGCAAAGAGATACTAACGGTTTTATTGTCATTAGCGTTCTTCGGTGAATCACTGAGCAATTGACGATTGAAAACGAGAATTTCCAACTTGGAGAGTGTTAAAAATATAAATGTGAATATGTATAATTAGATGGGTTTTTTATTGTTCGAAAAATATTATTTTCTTACATCATCATGTCAGTTCAAAACGGATAACCACTTCTTTATGGATGCGTCAATAATAATGGGTCCTACAGTACTTTGATGTTCGAAAAACTTTGTCTTCAATTACTATATCGATACCGATTTCTAATATGCATACAGTATATAAAATACATTTTTTTACATGAATTAATTTTAAACTACCTGTTGGTAGTTAACCAAATATTACTACTTGAATCATTCAACGGGTATGAATAAAGGCGAAAATACATAAAGTTATGTAATCATTATCGAGTATTTGTTTGGTAATAAATTATTATTGTGTAAAATTAAAATTAAAATTATTAATATTATAAATTAGGCATCAGAACATCATTGATGATCGTATACAGTGGAAAAATTAAATTTTAATGACATTACATGATAGTCGTGATATTATAGGACCTTAACATCAATGACATCCTACTCATCCGTTTCCTGCTTCTTTCAACTATTGCATGTGTCTCCAAAAATAAATCCGTTTACTGTCATATATACTTCAATAAGTTTATATTTATAATAAAGAATGTATTCCATGAAATCTTTCAAAACTAGATTATTATATCAGTTATTAATTGTCTATGATTATACATGCGCATTTATGAAATGGAATTTTTATTTATTAATATAAATAAAATTATACGCAGAATATTAATTATTATAAGATAGAAGCAATCAGCATGATTAAAAAGGTAATGAGTGTCTCTAACTGATGTTACAAACATAATCTAGCGGCATTTGTAAATTTAACACCATCATTGTTCGGTGTTCCGCTTTAGTCACTAACGATATAAAAATTAAGTAGATTATTTATATTAGTTGATACGTTAAAATTCATCGAAATTTGAATGAATAACAGGATACATAGTTCATTTTGTTTCGAAAGTCCAACAACTACGGGTCATTCCACGCCAAACGGATCACTTTTGTACACGATGTCTGGGATTTTGCTAAAATTGAAATATGTTTAGCTATGTATGTATAGACACTGCGAGGCTTCCTCGCGAGGCTTCCTCGATCAAGTTACCTCGCGTCTTAAAGAAAAAGGAAACTATAACACTTAAAGTAAACATTCTTGCTGGTATTTATTAGTACATATCTTAAAATCATAAGAAAAATTGTTTGTGATGGTTTTGTCCACGTGGTCATAAATAAACCGCAAGGCTTTGAAAAACGAAAGATTGAAGAAGTGGGGACGTAAAATCTGGAGATACGGTTATGTGGAGTTACGAATGCAAAGTTTTTCTTTAGTTTTAATTTAATTAAGTTTTTCTTAAATATTGAAACTTCGATAATTGGTGCATGTTTAAAAAAAATGTACCGAACTATGGTGTTTTTCTTTGGTCAAGAAAACTGAATAAACAAGAATTGCGTGGACCAAACCTATTGACCGTAGGTCATACCATAAAGAATGTAATTACGAACCAAATGTGTTTCGAGAAAAATGGGTTTAAAGTTTTTTTTTTTATTCGTATGCATACGAAGTTAAAATTATGGCACTAACGTTTAATCAGCGATTCATGCTCCATACAGTAGTCCTTGCGAAACACGGTTTCACTTCCTCAATTTGCTACTGTAAGTCCGATTTTTCTTTTTTTATTATTTTTGAGTGCGAGCTTTTTCGACGCTGCAATGCTCACGCGCCTTGCTTGCTTGATAAGCTCTTCGTCGCACGCCTCAGCGTAAGGAAATGCACAAGGACCAACATTGACTCCCATTACAAATAAAAATTTCATTAACGTAGAGCATCATTCGTTAAAAATACATATTGACGCCCAGGGGCAATTTCTAACACATTTCTACAATTGAAAATATGTTTAGGTGCGAACTGCCACAAAGTACAATTGTAACTTTCGTTACTGATTTGAATATATCACCCTAAACATCGTTTCAATAATTCTCCTTCAGTCAAGCTTTCAAATATTAGCTGTATTATTTGTTGAACAACTTGATCCGACCGTCTCTCCAACTTATGGCTGTAGAACCTTTACCTTTAAGAATTTCGACTTAAAATTTTTACAGTACCTATACTATTACAAAAAAATTGAGTTTTTGAAAATTTTACATCAGAATTTTCCCTTAAATAGAATACTATGAGGCAAGCAAATGAAGCAGGTTGCTGCTGCAGCGTTCGCATTGATGATGATTTACAGAACTTTGAAAAATAAAAAGACACAAAGACGAAAACGACGATGACGAATCAGAGAATTAGTCTGGCTTAGGTCTAGGTTACTAATAAAGTTGGATTGGGTGGATAACGTTGGGGTTAAGCATCCCCGGGTAATGCCACCCCTAGCCCCAATTGCGGGGCTTTGCGAAAGCTAGTGCGCTAATGAGCCGTGCTTGTGGCCTTGGAGGGGGGGGGGGATACCGAAATCCCCTCTCCCAGGAGACAATGTGCAACTAATCACTAATTACTAGGTCTGGGTGTCAAATGCAAGGCGTTTGAATCAGTTGAAGATACCGTACAAAACTTTATCCGCATGGCAATGACTGGTTTCGAA